CCTCTGAAACTGGAAAAAAATGCAGACAAATTTTCTAAAATCTCCAAATCTGTCAAGTTACTCTTCTTTTAGGTTTATTAAAAAATCGCCAAATTCGAAAAATTTATTTTACAAAAATATCAGTGAAATTAAACTGAAGAATTTTATAGAGAAGCAATAAAAACAAATGTACTCAGAAAAAGTCATAGAAGCAAGTGATACCAATCTTACTGCTCTTCGATGCTCCTTTTCCGAATGATACTACCAGTCTTGATACTTTTTGATTAGCCCTCGTATTTTTGTATCAAAAATCAGTCTGCTCTTGGAGAGGAAAGGTATTTTAACTCCTATAGATGTAATAATAACAATAATTACATTATGTTTACATAAATCATGTAAGTGCTATAAAATACAACTAAAGGATTTAGCAAATTTGTAAATGGCAATTTAGTAAATTTAATACAGAATATAGGCTACAAAAACTATAAATATTAACAGTGGAATAGTTTTATTAAAAGAAATTTAAAACTAATTCAATTTTCAAGAAATCCATTATTAGATTATATTGGTCTGGGGACTTTTAAGTTGAAGAAAATAGAATAATTAATTAAAATTAATAATTTCAAGAGGAACATTTTTTTGTATAGAATAAACATGAGTAGTCTTCATGGAAATGTGACAAATGTATAACAATTTTTAACTATTATTCAATTAATTTAAAATATAGTTAATGTTGTTGATGTGGTACATCACCTTTTACGAGGGCGTACCCAAAAAAAACCGAACTATTTTTGTACAAAGTTATTTATTTAATTTTTTTACAAAAAACATTTAATCTCCTTCAAAGTACTCTCCGTTGGAGATAATGCACTTGTCCAATCTTTTGTTCCAATTTTCGAAGCACTTTTTATTTTTAACTTCATCAAAGGAAGTCGCAGGGAGACAGGTTGGGTGAATAGGGTGGATGGGACACAGTGGTCATATCATTTTTGGTCAAAAACCGCCATACAGAAAGGGTTGTGTGAGCAGGAGCATTATGGTGATGAAAAAACCAGTCTCCTGACTGCCACAAATCAGGTCGTTTTCGCCTCAAACTGTTGCGTAATCTTTTTAACACCTTTAGGTAAAATGCCTGGTTAAATGTCTGACCAGGTAGAACAAACT